TTACTCTAGAAAAATGCACATTTGAAAAAGTGAAATGAAATATTAGCATCCTTTACAGATACTCTTAGTTATTTTAAGACTATAACATGCATTACATATAATAGGATTTGGCATGTTTGATATGTTAAAAGCACAGATTATTCAGAATGTAATTACAAATTGAATTAAATTTCTTTTTAAGACTAGTAACTTTTGTTGGTTACAAATGAGACTACAAGGCCCTGGACTGTAAGGAAACCTTTACTATAAGGATCTGATTTTACCAATTTAAGAAGGCGGAGAAACACAAAAGCAAACATGAAACCTAGAATAAATAATCAACATTAGCATAACAGAAACTTGTTTTGTCTCTACTCCATAATGTCTAGGAGACAGACTACATTCATTCACATTACAAATACTGAGTGCTATGCTACTACTATGCATCATCTCAAATAAAAACTTTAATCTATTTCTGCCTTTTTTGAGGAAATAGAGACATTTTTTTGAGTGGGGGATATTGGTCTCATATTTCTCTAACCATTTTTAAAACCATGTTCACATCTTTAGTGCTGACATACCTCCCATACTGCTGGGTTACATGGAAGCTGTTGTAATTTTGAAAACCACACTGGACCTTCCTAGGAATCTCTAGGTCCTTCTGATGGACGTTGACCAGAGAATTGTGCTGGAGACCCAGGGCCCTTCAACACAGCACCTAAAATGCAGAAATTACTGGGTTAAAAATGATGGTTAAATGATGATAGAGCTAAATCCACACTCATTCGCATTAACAGAGGAAAAACATGTGATTAAAAGATCCTCTTATATCCCTAATAGGGCCATAAAATGTATATATTCACATGACTGTATAACCCTGGAGTCATGCAAAACATGTGATTTCCTTTCCTCCCCCCTGTGGATACTGCACCAGCACACATCTGCTTTCAATAATCCCAAAACAGCTGATCAGTTGATTGGACTGTCAAATAGTTTAAATGAAGCACAAAAGGAGAGCAATTTTCTTCCCAATCCCCACGCAGTTGGTGGGGGCAGGGGCGGCTCAACCCATTATGCAAAGTAAGCATTTGCAGTATAGTTGATTTTGCCCAGGGGTGCTCTTGAGGCGCTCTTGGGGGAAAATAGACTTTGACATATGTGAGTTGTAGTTACTGGGATGTATAGTTCACCAAAAATCAAAGAGCATTGTGAACTCCACCAATTATGGAACTGAACCAAATATGGCACATAGAACTCCCATGACAAACAGAAAATATATATCAATGATTGGTTGGGGGGGGGGGGCGCCAAAATACTGTTTGCTTACCATTCAAAATTACCTAGGGTTGCCTCTGGGTGGGGGGGGGGAGCCTTTTGCAACTCATGCTGAAGGGAGACCAGCCATATTTCCAGAGGAAAATAATTCCTGAGGAACTATTTTCAAGGGCATGGCTACCTTTGGGAGCAGCTCATCTCATTGTGCTCAGTTCGAGCTCATCATTAAATAGACCTGCCCATGGGAAGCAGCCTTAGGTTTATATTTAGTGTGCACCTAAGGCACCCCTGTGTGGTGTAGGCCAGGAACAGAAACTCTTACCTGTGTTTATGTAACCGGGGTGAGGGCAACCAGAACTGGCCTTGAAATGGGGAGAGTTCTGTCCTCCGTAAAACCCTTTTGACTTGAGGCAGAATTCTTTGTATGTTTTCCTGAGCGGTCACCCTGCAAACTTTGAAGTTTGCTATATCTGGGGACTCAGGTGTTTTGCCCAACTTAGCTGAAGGTTAGGTCATGGAGGGCCACTACCTCGGCTTAAATCCACACTAGATTAGGTCCTTTTAGTTACATGTTGCAAGTCACATAAAGTTAATTCAGGTAACATTTAAAGAAAAGTTGCCCATATTTCAATCCACGCTGTTGTCTGGTCTCTTATATCAAAGGTGGGATTGGCAATTAGAACTCTCTGAAACTCTTTATTTCAGAGTTTATAATATTAAACAGAGCTTGCACTAAGAATTGGGGGGGAAAGAGATTTTGGCATTGTCTGGAAGCACCCTTCGAGATTCATAGGGAGGTGTTCTCCCAGATTAAACAAATAGCAGTTCTTATTTCTGTTCTCCCCCCCCCCCCACACATTTACAAGGATTGTAGGTCCCTAACCTTAGTGAATGTGTAGGGCTGACTATATAAACATATATAATATTGCTACTGACATTGAAATGAATGTGTTGTGTTTCGCAAATTGGCGTCCTTGAGATGAAACAGGAAACCTGCAGTGTTGCTGATGTGAATTTGGCTTCAGGAGGTTTCAACTGATCATTTTATTCACCAGGCACATTTTCTGCCCAATGTTAGCACAACAGAGATTCAAAAGCTATAATCTCCAAACAGTAACATTTCTTTATATCTTGCCACCTACCACCTCTTGTGCAACAGATTAAAAGTTGTTTGCAAGATGGCAGAAATACATTTGGAGTGTGCTGAAAATGTATACTCCTGTTTTCAAAATATTATTTTCACACCAGGCAGTAAATTTTGTATCAGCATGTGCCCTTCCTACTCCACTGGTTTCTTTTGTTGCTGGGAGGAATTTCACTCAGTCTGAAAACACATTGGGGGAAAATTACAGTCACATTAGGATATTGGTCTTATAATCAAATGTATAATGTATGAGAAGTGTTAACAGAAATTACCTTGTAAGTCTGATTTGCTGTGCGATTTGGTATTTCCCCTTTTCTGCCTCTGTTCATTAAATTTGTACATTTGAAGCTACATTATTTAAAAACTGCAATAAAATTCTTATTAAAAGTCCTTTGTCGCTGTTGTACTTCGGTAGCTATGTGATAATATATTGAATGGCCAGAGGGTGCCATTAATTACTGTTATAAAATTAATAATTTTAACACTGAAGAATTTGAGTGTATGATTTGACAATGCCATTTCATATTGATCTGTATAGTAGCTATTACCACATGGTGGTTTTTTTAAATAAGCTGCTGTAGTCATCAGAAAAATTGGGGTATTTTCTTGCCATTATACCACATCCAAAAAGAAAGTTCCATCCAAAAGGACTCTATTAAATAAAACAGGTATCCAAACTACAGTTGTCTGAGGGATGATTTATGTGTTAAGCACTGAAGCCTGCTACATTGGGTTTTTCTTTGTGATGAATTATGCATGCTGTTTGAAGGTCTACCATATTTGTGTGTTTGTTTCAATGGTTCATTGAGCACTTACAGAATTTATGAAAGTACTTTACAATATTGTAAGTTATTATAAAAGCCTATTGTTGGAATAATATATGGTGTGTGGTGGCAAGAGTGGCCCTTTCCTTCCCAGGATCAATGGCATATCTAATACATCACTAATGCATCACTAATACACCACTAATACACCACTAACACACCACCAATAAACCTCAATACACCCCTAATACATCTCTATTATTTATTTATTTTATTTATTTACCTTACTTATATACCGCTGTTCTCAGCCCGAAGGCGACTCACAGCGGTTCACAACAATAAGAGACAGCAGAATTCAATGTTACAGTATAAAAACAGTTAACAACTTAACACATTACAGAATTAATAAACAATTAACAATTACTACAATAGCCATTCACTATCATCTCATCATCAAAAACATGATCCAGATTCGTCATCCATTGATCCATTCCAGTGTTCATTAACCAATCATTGCACTCATTATTCGAACGCCTGGTCAAACAGCCAGGTCTTCACTTTTTTGAGGAATACCATTAGATATGGTGCTAGTCTAATATCGGTAGGAAGGGCGTTCCACAGCCGAGGAATACACCCCCAATACACGAATACACCATGAATACACAATAATATACCACAAACACAACCCAGTACACTCCTAATACACTTCTAACATACAAATATAGCACAAATACACCTCTAATACACCTGTATCACACCCCTTATACACCCCTAATACACTCCTAATATACCTTTAACACACTAATAGATCACAAATACACCCCTAATACACTAATACAGCTCTAATACATTTCAATACAACCCTAATGTACCCCTAATATACCTCTAACACACTAATACACCTCTAACACCCGAATACACCTATAACACATCTCTACCACACAAATACACCCCAATACACTACTAATAGACCTCTAACACACCACTAATACACCCCTAATATACTTCTATAACATTAATACACCCTTATTACACCAGTAATACATCTCTAGCAATGAATAATTCTTATGTTTATCCTTACAAAATCTCTAACCTGGGCGTCACCTGATAACCAAGCTAGTGTTCTTATTAAAGCAAGAACAGCAAGAAAAAATGACTAAAGTCTATTCTTTACCACCTAAAGTTCTTCAAATCTGGAAGATGCATAACATGTTTTTAACTCTGTGTGATTGGGCTTGGTCCCATGTAAGCTACCCCGAGTCTCTTTGGGGAGATGGAGGCGGGGTATAAAAATAAAGTTATTGTTATTGTTATTGTTATTGTTGTTGTTATTATCATTATTTTCATAGAAAACTTGATATAGCTAATCAAATCTTGACAGGAGACCAGATTGTAATCCTATGTTGCTTAAGAGAGGAAACATACCACTATATATATATATATATATATATATATATATATATAATGAAATCTAAAAAAACAGGGAGGAAAAGTATGGATTAAAATGTAGTTGTTTCTAAGGAGCAAATGCAAAACCCAAAAGGATGGGTCTCCGTTAATTTTAAAATTTAAAACAGCATTATGTAATTCTTAAATTTGATTCTTTGTGTTTAGTACAGTACATGACAAAACTCTGAAAAGGTACTAATTGAATGTAAGTTATCTGCGTAAAACTAAAAACATTGTTAAGATGTTGATTAGCATCAAACAAAATATACATTGGCTACTTTAGATGAAAGCTTTAAAAATGATAAACATTATGCTTCATATTTAATAAAATTATGCTTTTGTTCTTTAGCTGATGAAGATAACATCTTAGTTCTGTGTTTCTCCCCTAGAATGTTGACAAGTGGTCCTTTGATGTATTTGCACTAAATGATGCTAGTGGGGAACACGCACTGAAATTCATTTTCTATGAATTGCTCACCCGCTATGATCTGATCAGCCGTTTCAAGGTCAGTGATCCTGCAGTGCCTTTCCATCTTCATCTTGTGTAGTTAACCAGTAGGAAAAATATCACAAATGTTGTATTTCTGCTATTGTTAGCATATTGGTTATGTATGTTAACAGTAACACACGTGTCAGCTGAATTATAGTGTTTTCAGGTATATTAATAGGTTTTTAATGGTTTAATGGTTTTAGCTGTTTCTTCTTAATAGTTTCAATGTTTAATCCTCTTTGAGCGTTTTGTATTTTTTTAGGTTTTAAATTGTATATTACATTGTTTTTTAGTATTATTTGCCTCTTTGGTCCCTTTTTAGACAGATAATTATTATTGTTATTACTTTTATTGTAACAACAATAACAACAACTATTTAATTCCAGGTTGAAAAATTTGGAATAGCATCTCAACATTTCAGCAAAAAGGGCCCAATTATACTTCCTGTGGAATGAAATGGGAAGCATATATTGACTTTTCTATAAAAAATCATTCAATACTGCTTCCAGTAGAGTTTTCCTTACATATGGTCCATGCATCTATTCCATCTTTCCTTTTTGGTGGTTCATGTCTAGATGGGGCTTTCCTCATCATACGTTCTTACACACTTTCAACCAACCAACCTTTGTTAGGATTGTTGGCTTTTCTTTTTCCTTCTACACATTTGTTCTGCACCCACTATCCTGATGAGCTCTCGCTTTTTATTTGTCATCGTTTTGAATATTATGGTATGGGAGAGCCACAAGTTTCTTGTGCTCTTTGTTTCTGCATTGTTGTTTCTATTCAAAATAGAACTCCAGCGTCACCCACAATGGGGAGAAGCAGAAGTTGTCCTCATTTTAGGAGGCTCCTCGGGGGTGCTTATCACTGTCTTCTGCAAATTCATTTTGCTTGCTATCCAGTACAAAACACACAAAACAAAACACACAATAGCTACCTGAAACTAAATGATAATATGTGAACATATTATTTCTAGACAAAAATGCAGTGGTATTTTGTTATACAAGGGTAAGTGGAAAGTAGATGTTGCTTTACCCAGCCATTCTCAATCTTAGGCCACATCCACATTGCCATTATAATGTAGATTGAACTGCATTATGTGGTCATATAATTGAGTTCAATGCAGTTAAACTCAGTCAATATGTCATGTATGGAATGCATTATATAGAAAGCATGTGAAGGAAAGAAGTTATGTTACAATGAGAACATTTTTTGACTATATTGATCTTGGTAGATCATTAAAGTGCTTTCTCTCTCTCTCTCTCTCTCTCTCTCGCTATCCTGATTATGTGTTTCCTTATTCTTTCTCATAAACAGCATGATCCATATGTAACTGTGTTTTATTTTAAACTTATGCAGAGCCTAGACCCCATCCACATTGTCATTATAGCGTAGATTGAACTGCATTATATGGTCATATAATTGAGTTCAGAGCAACAAGACTGAATTATATGAATCTACCCTGATTATAAAATGCAGTTCAATCTACATTATAATGGCAGCATGAATGAAACCTTAGAAAGTTACTTTTCATAAGAATGAATATAAAGATCTGCTGGAGTTATCAATAATGGACCAATGATTAGATGACACCGTGTTGATGGCCTCATGTCATTATATTAATTCTTCTTAAACGCAACTTTCCAAGCTCTGTTTTAATATCAGACATGTTAAGTATATTTGCCTGAAAGATACAGCCAATTTAGTTGTGTTTAATATTTTATTTCTCTATAGAGTGTTTAATATAGTTGTATATTTGGAAGCAATCAATATCAGAATGCTTGGTTTATGTGAAACTATTTGTTTGGAAAGCAAATGATAATCTGCCAGTACATAAGAAGCTAAAGTTTGCCATAAAAATCTCAATAAAATTCTAACCTGTTATTGTGGGGCTTAGCTCATGTCCTCATGCATGCTATTTCTATGTTTTTACGTAGATTCCAATTTCTGCCCTTGTCTCCTTTGTGGAAGCCTTGGAAGTTGGCTACAGCAAGCATAAAAATCCCTACCACAATCTCATGCATGCTGCAGATGTCACACAGACAGTTCATTACCTCCTTTTTAAGACGGGTGTAGTAGTAAGTAGATTGATCTCTTTTCTTAAGTTACTAAAGCTAAACTGTGCACTTTGGGAAAAATATTAATTGCTTATTGTACAATATACTAGGTGGGATTTCAATGGTTTTATGGCACAATATGGGAGCCTTTCTCCTTCAGTTCAGATCCTTTAAATTTTAACTGTTGATTAGCCACATCACGGAATTGGTATGTTGCTCAGATTCATAGAATTTTGTGGAACTTTGAACTGAGAAACTCTGGAACTAGCCATGAGAACAGAGAGGTTGAAATTATGATTACATTATTAACTAAAATAGTAATGACCTCCACATTTGGCTATGATATCAGAAATGAATTCCAAAGGATGCATTTTTGTTTATCCTAATGTTTCATTTTATCACATATCTGTTAAACTGTAGATGAGACAGCAGTGGGATAGAGTTATCCATTTTTCACCCCCAAAGTCTTGGGAAAATAATGGAATACATCATTTCTTGTAAGAAAAAAAGTCAGTGTTTGAGGAATAATTATGCATTAAATTAAAGCATGAATGGATTTGAAAAATGGACATGACTAAAATATATAGAGAGATATAGAAAGCTGCATACAAAAATATTTGTGATTAAAAAAACACATCCATACAAATATTCAAGAATGTTTATGCAGGAAGCAATAAAAAGGTTGAACTCAACTCAGGAGAGAATTGAAATGCCAGAACAAACCAACAAAAAAAAAGCGAGAGAGAGAGAGAGAGAGCAGGTTATTCTAGGTTTTCCCAATTCTATATAGGGTGCTTTCACACAGCGCTTTATCCCAGGAGCATCCGTGTTTAAAAATGTGGATGTTCCTGGGCCCCTATCCACACACACCCCAGAAAGTGCATGCTTTCTGGGGTGGGTGTCTAGATGTTCTCCTGGAAAGTTCCAGGAGAACACCCAGATACTAACCCCCTCCCCAAAAGACCCTCAAAACACAGTAAAAAACAAAAGAACTTACTGGCCTCCATTAGAGGGCTTCCAGTGCTCTCCTTGTGCATACAAATGACACACCAGGAGAAAGGGGAGGCGGGAGCGATTTTCCTCCTCCCAGCAGCCCTCTAATGGAGGCCAGGTAAGTTCTTTTGGTTTTTTTTTCTAGTGCTTTTGGGGTCTTTTGAGGAGGGAGTTGGTTTAGCCCAGAAAACCGTGGGAACACCGTCTGGACTGCAGTCCAGACACTGGAAGTACTGGGTTTATCCCAAGCCTTTTAAGAAGGCATGGAATAAACCCACTAACCAATTAATTCACCACGAACCAGGGTTTCCCCCTTTTTATTGTGGTAACTCCAGCATTAAAGGAACTGTCTGGATATGTCCATAGTAGAGACATAAGAATGTAGGCCAAGGGGAATTAAACCTGTAACATTAGTTTGCTAAAGTCAGCAATTTGCACCATCTATATAAATAAAAATGTAATGTTCGTTTGTGGGATTAACATAACTCAAAAACCACTGGACGAATTGACACAAAATTTGGACACAATACACATATTAGGGCAACGAGTGACCATCACTCATAAAAACAATGTAAAACACAACAGAAGGGACTTAAAAGGCAAAAAAAGCAAAAAGATGCTACAGCACATGCAGGGCCATAGCCAGAAATATTTTTTGGGGGGTTTTTTGGGGTGTGTGTGAAAATTTCGCAGGGGGGGGGTGAAACCTGCCTCCTAGCTCACACTGAAGCAAAGAGAACAGCAGGGGGCAGAGCAGCCTTCAATAGCCTGCAGCTCCGCCCCTGTCAACCACCTCCACCAAGTCTGGCCTCCTTAATGAGAGCATTCAACACCCCCCCACCCCCAACTTGGTTGCTTCGCTACATCGGCTATTGCTGCAAGTAATGACAGTGTGAATAAATTGTCAATATTGGCTTGAGATAGTGCTTGCAGTTCTGGAGGGACTCTTAATTTTTTGCATCTCATAGACTTAGCATGGGGATTTGGTTAACCAGTTAAAATTCATGAGTAAACTAGGTTTTTTTTTACCTGAAAATTTTTTTGGGGGGGGGGTTAACCCCTAACCTCTCACCTACCCCTCGGCTACAGGCCTGCGCATGTGCAAAAACAACTCCCTCTGACAAACAAAACACACAATAGCATAGCCACACTCTCTTCCAGACTACAACTCCCAGCATCCCCTAGACCTCTCCTCCTTTAGGAGAGGAGGATGATCCAAATGCACTGCTTCCACGCTGCATGCTTTCTTCTCTTTGGATTTCTTTGAGAGCATTCCAATCTCCGCATATTTCCTATTTCCTATTTCTGGAATGCAACTCCCAGCAATCCTTCAGATAGATAAGATAGATAGATAGATTAGATAGAGATAGATAGGTAGGTAGATAGATTTTTTGGCAATCTGTGCAGCTCTTGTAGGGCCCAAGAGCCTCATTAGATGGGCAAAATTGCCCATGCTATGCTGAGTTCACCCCTCTTCAGGCACGGAATCTGCCAGCTCCCATCCCATGACATTGATCTACTTCTGGAGGGGCTTTGTGCCTGAAGAGGGGTATAATAACTTAGAGAGGTTATCAAGGCAGGGGGGGTCAAAGAATCCCACCGCTGTCTCCAATTATAAGGGCTTAGAGACTTATCTGGGCAGGGTGGAACAAAGAATCCCACCACTGTCTTTCCTGACAATAAGGAATTCACACCACTTTGGCTCTTATAGTGTTTGAGGGGATGTCTCGTTATGTAAAACCTTCGCTGCCACCATAAACTAAAGAAACACGAACCCTCTAGCTATTTAAAATGTTAAAATGCTGTTTAAAATAATAAAAGGCTTTTTACTCCACCAAATGTTGTGTATTATCAAGGGCTTTCTTTGAGGGGAAAACAGGAGAGGTTGATTCAACAAGGAAAATGACTCCAACCAAAAATGGCACTTGACTCAGGCTTCAATTTTAAAAATAACAAGAAAGAGTTTATTGATTACAAGTTACATTATAAGTGAATGCAGGTTCAGAGGCTTAGCTGTTACCAATAAAAGTGTTCTTGTTTCTTAGAAGCGTAATGGTTACTTGAGAGAATGGTTCTTTCCTTTGTTACAATTTCTTAAACACAAAACCCAGCTATTTTCTTTTCTAAAATAGCTGTAACTCAGTCTGCCACAGCCTACTGTGCTGTGCAAACTACAGGCAAGCTGCCTATTCTTAACAGAGTCTCCTAAAACATCCAAATCCTACTCTAATCTCTCTCAGAACTGAACTGCTCTCTACTCTACTCAGAACTGCACTCTTCTAAACTAAACTGAACAAATTAAGCTGCTCTCTTTCCCTCCATCTGGCTAACTCCGCCCCTCTTTTCCAAACCAATCCTGGCTGTTGCTGGGCTGGCTCAGGCCTAGGCCACTCCCCCTCTCTGAACTGGAGTTTCCCTAAACTAAGATGGCTCCAGCAGCTCTCTGCCAGGCCTTCTAAGCTGAAACTACCTAGCCTGTCTCTTCCTGGGCCCTGCCACCCTGGCTGGCAAGGTAAGGGATCTTTACAAGGGGCTTCCGATTTGGCACAAGGAACAAGAGGAGAAACCGGGCAGTGGATGCTTCCCCCCATGGGATGGGGTTAGTAGCAAAGCGGGTAATGCGGGGAGTGGGGAGATGAGTTCTCTCGCCCTCCACCAGGCCCCGCTAGATTTGCTATGATCCATGGTAAACCCAGTAATCAATATGATGAGGTCTCTAGGGTCCTTGTACCTACTACTGTTTTTAGGTCATGCCAACGGTGTGAGAAGAGCAGGCATTTGTGTTACTTCTGGGAAGGGGCAGGAGGATAAATGAGCATGGATTCCAAATAAATCAGAAATTTTTGACCATAATGCAGCATGTCATCCACTTGGTTTCTTCTTGTTTAACTCACTGATGACTAGGTTTATTTGGGACTAAGGATAAAGTTTGCATTTGGTACTGTAAATGGAATGGTCCCCACTGCAACATAAAATAGTAGTAGTAGTAGTAGTAGTAGTAGTGCAAAGCATAGGGATAAAATGAAGCTACCATGGATTATAAAGTCTCTGATACTATCCCTGGTAGTTTTTGTTTTTTTTTTGAGGGCAGTATTGTCTGAGTAAGCATTGCTTACATAGGACTTAAGTTAGAAAATGTAATGGAAGCCCTGCAGAAAGCAGGAGTCTGAAAAGAAATTGGCAGTGTTGCAGAGAATTTCCCGTAAGCTCTAATGCAGCAGACTCTCCTTTATTAGGATTTTAGAGGAAGGAAGTCTGTCATAAGAGTTTGAGATTTCACTTGTTGAGGACCTCTCTCCCCCAAGTTAAAAAGGAAAGAAATATCTTGTAACATTTCTCTTATGGCTATAAATTCCCATTAACCCTGTCAGTACAGTTACATTATCCATTCCATAGTCCAAAGGGACTACGTTCTCATAAAAAGCATAATAAAAAGCAACAGTCAAATAAAAATTTTACAAAAATCACATATATTCCAAATCAAAATGACAAAATACAACCACTTTTTATAATTAAAACAAATATCTATTTGGGTGCATATAAATGCTTTGCCTATAGGCTTTAGGAATTACAGTAGATTATGTTATGTTACTGAAACAGTCATTGTTTGAATAGGTTAATATTCTGAACCCAAAAAGGTTTAATGTCTTAATTCAAGACTGAAGAAAATGCAGCCTTCAGGGCCCCAATCTGTTTCCCCTGAAGGCCCCCAAATGTCATAGGCATTTTGATATTTTGGTGCATGTATATGGTTTTCACCCACCCATTGCAAATGGGTTAAAAGAGCAGCAAAATGCAGTGGTCTTGGCTTCACAACCCATATAATATAAAATTGTAAGAAGAGGGAAAAAAAAAACATAACAGCTAGAAGTATGTGACAGTACTTCTAGTAGCGTCAGATTCACCATTCAACCTGTGTGTGTGTGTGTGGGGGGGGGATCCCTCCCTATTTGCTCGCTGTTGGACAAGATTGAGACTGAAGTCCCATTCATTTCCATGGGAAATTGCTCTGCAGTCCTTTGTATACATGGCAGCAATGCTTAGATGCTCAATTTTAAGAGGAATAAATATAGTGACATGCTGAAGCCACCTATAACTGAGCAGTCTCCATTAGAGCTCCTCAGTCTCCATCTAAGCTTCTGAGATTTTTCTAAATAATTTTGATCCAAATCTTATGCCATGCACAAGTGTCCTGAAATGTTTTTTTCAGGTCTACCTGGAACTAATATGGAGTGGCTTATTTGCCTGCCATTTCCCAGCATAATTTCCTCATTTTGCTATATGTGCTGAACCTTATACTTCCTTTCACAGTTCACAACTGAAAAGTAAATAATATTTTTGCTCATCTGAGGAAACCAGAGGTCCAAACGATATGTGACGTGAGTGATCCACAAAATAAATTGTGAAGTCGCATAAATTGTAACTTCACAATTTATTTTAAAGACTTCAAAATAAATAATGTTGAGAAAGGGGAATTTGACCCAGTTCCTTTTGTCATCTTTCCAGATGAGCTATCTTGCTTTTTTTCTGCATTTCCCAACAAAAGTGTTAGCAAAATCTGTTATATGCTTCCCAGATTGGTGGAAGGAGATTTAGGAAATCTAAATTTGAGTCTCAGTGGAAATGCACAGGGTGATTGCGGCCCACCCATTCTTTTTCAGTCTTACAGACCTCATAGGCATGTGGCATTATCAAAGACTAAAAATAATGATAGCAATTAAACAATTTCTCTCCAATCCCATCCCAAAAATCTCTGTAAGCTCTGTAAATTGAATTACATTGTACTAACTAAAAAGCATGCCTTATTTCATGGTTAATAAGCAGATAATCTTCATTATGCACTGTAAAAAATTGATATCATCACCGGAACAATTAGGAAATAGAATGATGAATGCTTTTTCTGTTCTGTGTTGCATTTTTCTTTCCATGTGTATAAGCTCTTTCTGAGATATCATATTTCCTTATGTCTGTTTCTCCCATTCCTTTGTTTGACAGTTTTAATCATCATAACTATCCAGCAAAACTACCAATATTTCTGATTTTTCTAATTGTACTTCATGCCAGTGATTACCTAACTGTGTTTCAGGCTCTTTGGAGTTTTCTTTTTCAAAGTGTTCCATGTAGAAATTTGCTATGACTGGGCTGAGAGGGCTCCCCATAGCTACTCCATCTTTCTGTTCGTAGAATTCATTGTCCCACTGAAAGTAGCTGGTGGTGAGGCAATGGTGAAACAGAGCGGTGATGTCTTCTGGGAACTTCTGGTTGATTAGTGCAAAGGTGTCTGCTGCCGGGACCATGGTGAATAGAGACACCACATCAAAGCTGATCAGTTTGTTGTTGGTATTTAGCTTGAGATTGCTGATTTTTTCTATGAAGTGGGCTGAGTCCTTGATGTAGTGTGTAGTGAGCCCAATATGGCTTTGTAACTGTGCAGCAAGAAATTTTGCTAAGTTGTACTGTGGGGGATCCAGTGGCACTCACACTGGGTCTGAGTGGGATGGAGTCCTTATAGATTTTTGGGAATCCATAAAGCCTAGGAAGGAGGGCTTCTGATTTGCACAGTTGGTGTATGTCAAGGTTAATTGAGGAGTTCTTGATCATGGTGTTGGTTTTTCTGGTTATTTTGGAAGTTGGGTCTTGTTTAAGTTAAGGGCAAATATGTTTGCCATCCCTACATACAATAGCTATATTGTCAATTTAGCATATCTGCTAGGTGTGTGATTTGTAACATCTCGAATGGGCACACAGAAGACTGGGCAACTTGAAAGGCACTGAACAGACTGCGCTCTGGCACCACGAGATGCAGAACCAACCTTAAGAAATGGGGCCACATGCGAGTGTGGAAAATTGCAAACCACAGACCACCTATTACAATGCAGTTTGAGCACTGTCACAAGCAAAATGGAGGACCTTCTTATAGCAAGTGATCAGCTACTGGTCAAAGGACATTTAATATAATGCTAAGTTTTAAAACTTTGTGTTTTTTAAAAATACAGTACAACTGTATTTGTATTCTGATACAATAAATAAATAAACATCTGGAATTCCTGGCATTCTGAATCTTAGGTGAATAGACAGTCTTTAATCTAATGCACTCAACTGGAAATGTTTTGATTCATTGAATTCAAGTAACAAGATTAGAAAAGACGAGTCCCTGAGAATATTGAGGGCACCAGTAGACAAAGACAAGGCTTGAACAGAAATTGGTTGTTCAAATACTCTATATTATTTGCAGGTGATGAAATGGATGGCAGGCATTTTAACCCAATATTCTTGTAGTTAGGTAAGAATTCTCCCAACAGTTTGAAAGGAGCCTCCAAACTAAATTTTCACAGAATTTCTGAAAAATTATTTTCTGAGACAGGTCGGTGAAGCTAGTCAGTTCAGACAATCATAAATTGGCTCAGGTAAATGCTTATCTCCTTCTGCAGGATTATGCTTGAGGTGCTGTGGTTGGATGTTAGTGTTAAAAGGAGCGTGGCATTCTTGGCTAACAAAGAGAACCTTATCTTTATAAAACAAAATGTCTTTTAAAGTTTGAAAAAGTTATATGTTATCTGATTCCTCTTAAAATCTCTTTTTCAGCACTGGTTGACAGAGCTGGAAATTTTTGCTATGATCTTTGCAGCTGCCATCCATGACTATGAGCACACTGGAACCACCAACAACTTTCATATTCAGACAAGGTAAGGCCATATTGGAACCTGTGAAAACAGTAGAGGATAAAAAAAAGAAATGATTAGTAATGGTGTGAAAGTCAAATGGAACTCAAATCTGGAGTGGAGTTTACAGTTGTAGGTATCTTGAATTCAGAACTTTCTGCAAAATGTTAGAAAACCCAGTGCCAAACCCAGTTTGTTGCTGCCAGCTCAAGCTGGACCCTTACTGTCCACCTCCTGTTCCTGTCATAGCAACAGCCATTCGACATGGTATTGCTAGTTGCTTGAAGTGATATTTGCCAGGATGCCAGAGTGAGAGAGGAGAGCAGGTATTGCCCCCTTCCTTCCCCTCTCCCTTATCTGATTGCCATGGCACCCCAGCCGATGCCACTCCAGATGACTCATGTCATGTCCACTGACAGCCAAGGGGATATGGGAGAGCCATGTAAATACTTGTGGCCGGAAGTCGCAATTTGTGCTAGATTTTGGGAGAGAATTCAGAGCATTCTGTGACATTTCTTAACAACTTTAGGAATTAATAGGATTAGACGGAAGCAAGACTTTTAGTCAATAATTTATTTGCAATATTTGTACACAGACCTCTAGTCTGAAGATCATATTAGGAATGTAATTAGTTATATTTTAACCCTATCAGAAATCTCCTTTTGTAGTGTTGTACTGATACTTGTGCACTATGGAAACAATTTGGTAAAATCTCTCACAAAAGTACTTTGTTGCTGTTCCTCTCTTTAATTTCCAGCCGCTGTTTTAATGTTGCTTATACAATTGAATACACTTCATGTAAGCCGTATGATGAAAGTTGATTTTTAACCATAATGAACCTACTACATACAATTCACTAGAAATTAATGGTTTAATTGATATCGTACTGAGAAGAAGGAAGCTTTGTATTTCAAAAAGTCTGGGAGTTCATGGGCCAAATTTTTAGATTATACAATAAAAGAAATACAATATGAAATACAATAGAAACAACAATTCTGGGAAAAAAACATATTATACAATTCTTGTTAGCAGAAAAAAACAAATACAACATGGAAAAAGTGTAGTTTTCATATCTCTAAAATGATGTATATTTTGCCAATCAGTCTGAGTCCCCCCTATTGTATTCTACTTTTCTGCATGCAACCCAACAGCTTCTCATCTTGTCATATCATGTTCATGTCTGTAAGGTCTGTAAGGTCAAGGTGCAAGGTCTCTGCAATTCCCCAACTAAGCATTGCAAGTGTTCCAGAAGTAGACTAAGTAATAGAGAGTTGATACCCAGACCCAAATAGATCTGAAAACAATACAAGAAGCAAAAATAAGTCTGCAGCCAAGATGATAAGCATTGGTCAGGGGAAAGGTAGACCACAAGTGCCAGTCAATGGGAGAAGGGGTTTCATATGTTTTTATTGCTTGAATCTGAATTGTTTTTAATAATGTTTTTAAATATTTTAAATTATATTGTAATGCTTTTAATGTTTGCTGCTTTGAGTATCTTTATGGAGAGAAAAAGCAGAATATAAATAAACATAATAACAAGAAGAGGAACACAACGACAAGGGTGAATCTATGAATATCACTACACAAATGTAGAAGTTCAGTGGTTCTCAACCTGTGGGTCCCCAGATCTTTTGGCCTTCAACTCCCAGAAATCCTAACAGCTGGTAAACTGGCTGGGATTTCTGGGAGTTGTAGGCCAAAACACATGGGGACCCACAGGTTGAGAACCACTGTTCAAGACAGATGTCAAGAGGAAAAAGGGATGAAAAACTGGGGAAACAGAGATCGCATGTATGTGTGAAAGAAAGAGGCAATTGGTGTATGAAAGAGTGTCAGAATGAACTGAAATATAGCCTTTTCCAAGTGGAAGTGAAAACTATTTTTGTCACATATTAATGCAATGGGAAAGTTGCCTGCCATGTGTTATTGTCTTTTAACATCCTCCATATCAGTAAATCAACCTGTAGACTGGATTAGTCTGATGAGATGGTGAGAGCTTTTATTGAAGTGGATTCTAATGATGAAAACTGTACCGTTTCCCTTTACACAAAACAAATATAAAACTTATATTCATACATTTTCTTGCCAAGAAAAGAAGATAGAAAGTAAATGTGCTGTTGAAGATGCTACACCTGTAAGCTGTGGTGTGATGAGCCTGCTTGTTCTTCTGTATTTCCTTCAATATAACTACTTATCTCAGAGTAGGCTGTATTGATTGAATTTGGGCTTACTTCACCAGAAACATGGATAGAATTGCATGACTAACCTTGTTTGTGCAGGTGCCACTTGTACTGCTGGTGAATGCAGATCTCTACCTGTTTCTGGAAGTAAAAAAAAAAGTATATATCTAGAATTCCCCAGGCATTATGTGGATTCCACAACATTCTTGGGGGAAATGGTGGTCTCCACAAAAACTGCCCATTCCCATTAGCATCCTCCCACATGAAATGTCCGGAAACATCACAATATCTTCTGGGTTAAAAAAATAATAAAGGTGATAGCCATCGGAAACAACAGTAAGATGCATTTCATTCAAACACTCCAATTCCTGAAAAGCAGGAAATGAATGAGTTACATACTTTGAAGGGTGGTTGGTAAAACTAGAATGGAATGAGATTCCATTCCAACTTCCATTTGTTCTGAAATAAATGCACACTCTTGATACAGACATATTATGGATATATATGAGGCAAAAGTATTCACTCTATGGGAATAATAGTCTCAAAGCTTTGTTTATATATATTGAATCTTCTTGCTTTCTAGGTCAGATACAGCCATTCTTTATAATGATCGTTCTGTGCTAGAAAATCATCACCTTTGTGCAGCATTTCGCCTTTTGCAAGATGATGAGGAGATGAACATTTTGTCTAACCTCTCAAAGGATGATTGGAGGTAAGAATGACTACAGACCATGAAATTACTCTCAAGTCTTCCCCTCAGATGTACTCAGCAGGAGTCTTTGTTCATGGATAGTAATGATAGGATGCAGACATTGCAGAAGATAAAAGTGGCACTCAGTCTGCATTGAAACCCATGAATTCTAACACAATTCATAGTGAAATAAGCCATAATTGTAATCCATAACTATTTTTTCCTGGGCCATAGCCATTACATACCATCTAATGGAACTGCCCCACCTAATCAATTTGGTGAGTGGGAGAGTAGGATCAAAGATTTAACCAAGAAGTGATTCTAAGTATAATGCTGTGCTTACACAATCCAAGTGTTCCAACACATGTATCTCAACAATATTGAGGAATTTCATTTTTTTGTTTAATTACATCTTCAGTGGCCAAACTGAAAATCTAAAAGAAAAAAAGCTTTCTATTCAAATGGGTATCAGAAGTGCTTACATATGACATCAGTGCAGTTTCTGTCACTATCTATCCTTCATTTATAATATTATTAAACTGTTTATATTACTTATAAATGTGTTGCGGTTTAGGATGTTTCTGAATAGGTACATGAAGAAGAGTGTAGATTTACTGGAAACATCTGGTGGAAACAGGAAGGTAGACTAGAGTAGATTTCTTCATATAATCTAAGGGTAGTAAGCTTTGTTGGCTTCAGGACCCAATTCTCTTCTCTTGACAAAATGCAGCAGTGAAGTGGCAAAACAGAATATGCCATGAAGACAATTCTGTCAAAATTCCCACCATCACCACCACCACAAGGATTATTTTCTGTTATATATGAATCCTTTTTGAGACAATCCTGCATAGATTTATGTACATGCTTTGTCCCAAATTAATTTGCTATTATCTGAGGCATTGTTTGGATGACTCAGATAAAGCTCGACAGGCCCTGCATTTTGGGTCCTGCCTGGAAGCGCCCTGATTTTGCCCATGCCTTCCTTAAACTGTAGCATTAGGCTTTACCATACGAAACGGTAGACCCTTTGGCTGTATTTGGTGCATTCTTTCAGATTATGGATTGTAAGAGTGAAGATGCTTATTTTTTTTCTTTAGAGTTTCCAAGCATGTGTCAAGCATTTTTATGCACAATTAAATAACTGCATCCTTTCTCAGTCCCAAACAGTTATGGTCTGCAAAAAAATCAGTGGTTTATTACATGTTATATATGTGGGAGCCAGAGATCCTAAGATCATTATGTGATTTTATTTATAATCGAAAGGATGTGGTTACAAAGAAGAAAAGCAGAGGAAATAAAAAGAATGGAAGAGGAGTGAGAGAGATGGAAGGGGTAGCTATGAGGGAAATAGAAGTTTGTGTATGTGGAAAAAAATTCAGTTGATTATGCAAATGCATACTGCCACATAAGTAAGAATTCACAGCAGCTCAACTTAAATAATGTTACACAATTATGCATATTATTCAATAATATGCAATAGAAACTAGTTCAGAAGATAATAAACAGAAGAAGACAAGTTGTTGAGAGAATTATAATCCACCCCTCCCCTCATCCCAAAGAGGTTTCCACATGGACCACTCCATATGGTCCAGTCCATTCCAAAGGTCGTTTTTCCTTTTTATATTTATTTTCCTTACAGCCATTTCCTCTGCTCCACAAATCCAGGTCACTCTGACCTAGGCTACAAAAAGGTTTCCATCTTCCTCCCCCCCCCCCCCCCCCCCGGTCTTTTCCCAAGAATGGCCTACTTAACAATAGAGTGGTGCAGTTCATTTCCTCAAATTCTAATATTTCTTCCCATGAGGGAGCAGGCCTTTCTGTTTTACTGAATGTGACAGGAGGAAAGGCATCCAACATTAGTTGAGCAATAAAAAAAGTTAATTCCAAGAAGTAATGCAGACAAGAAATGTTGGCAATTCTGATCACCCTGTAGATGTACAAGAAGAAACAACTATATTACCATCTTAAACATGATTTATCATTTTCTGTGAAAGTTTTATTTAACTACTTCTTTTGATGGAAACCACCCTGAGTCCTCTCGTGGAGATAGGATGGGTTACAAATAAATTGTTATTATTATTATTATTATTATTATTATTATTATTATTATTATAGGAGAATGAGCTAGTAGCTCTGCCTGGGTTTATCAAGGAGCGTCCTCCTTTCTTTAATTCATGCTTTGTCAATCTTCAGAATCATATTTGCATTGGGATCATTGGTTCAGGAGTTTAGCATTTCTTAGAAAAGAATATGCTGAACTCAGTTTTGGAAAAACACTCTTAACACGTAGACTATATTGTCTGACAATTTGCTCATTCCAGGTCTGGCATTTGCAAGAGATATTCCTCCTGCCCTTAAGATAATGTGAAGTACTCAGTGACGCACACGGGAGTGTAGAGTGAGAATGTCAAACATAATCTCTAGACATAGAAATAACAACAAAGATGTGTCTCATACTTTCCCCCCTCTCCTTGCTTCTTCTTGACTGGGTATCTACCCAAAAGGGAATTCAGGACTCTGGTGATCGAGATGGTGCTGGCTACAGATATGTCTTGTCACTTCCAGCAAATCAAAGCCATGAAGAATGCATTGCAGCAGCCAGAAGGGTGAGTCACATTGTGACACTGTGTGGAGGGAAGGCCAGTATTACAGCTGGTATTTTGCCACTTCATTAAACAAGCTTCAAAAACATCTCTCTGGGGGAATCCAATGATGCCAATGTGTATTTCTTTTAACAGGAGATGAATGTATATACGTATGCACACTCACACACACAAACTTGAAGCTGAAATTGAGAAAACTCATATTTGTTGTGCTTTTGTATTAGGAATAAAGCTCAATACTTCTCAGCTAGAGAGAAAGCTGAAAAAGAGAACACATCATTTCCACTGTCACAATGAGTTGCGGTTGTTACTAAAAGCATTAGAGAAGGCACTAAAAGCATCCTGAATTGCCTTTCCTACTGGTGAAAGATTGTTTTCTGTTCTAGATTAGAATTTAGACCATCTGGATGGGAAGCAAGGCTTTTTATGTTTGCTTCTTTCCAGGAATTCTTCTGATACTTGCTTCCTATCAGTAAGTTGGGAGGGTGGCTTTACGAAGATACAGACTCCAGTGACAGCCATCCATAATCCCTTTAAGAGACCCACCATCCACAATTTTATCTATCGGGGATGGGGTTTTTTTGTGTATGGAATAGGTATTGCTCTTATCTTAGTGAAAAACAAAACACCTGTGGCAAGAGGCGGGGGAAAAGTATCAAATCTTGATGTATAATACAATATAGGCAGAAATATAATAGGAGGTTGGCCTTGTTTGGGTTTTATGAATCCACTTATGTTAGCTATTTCTACTGATTCAACCTGTTTTATTTCCATAGCTTTATTTTTCAAAATCACCTGTTTTGTAATATGAAAATGAAAATGACAGGAGTCATATTTCCACCTCACTTGAATCCTTACCACACTATACAATTATAGTGTGTTATTCCACTGTAACTATCATGGTGCCACCAATTGAATCATGGGAAAGATACCATATTTACTCAAGTCTAATGCTCACGTTTTTTGATTACATTACATTGCCAAAATCGAGGTGCACTTTAGAATTGATGGTGTGTTAGAATCACGTACATGCGTAAAAAGGCCCAGAGGTGCCCAGAACCCCAAGCACTGGACATGGAGGCATACATGCACGAAGAGACTATTTCTGGTGGTGGTGGCAGCCTGAAGGTTCCATGGCACCTGGAGAAGGAGAAGGAATGCTCGGCTGGTGACCCAGTTTTTCCTGCCTCTTAGCTGGGGATCATGCCTCCCAGGTGGCCCACTGGGTTTCTTTCACTCACCCTCCCTGTGCTCACTCTCTGTGTTTTGAAGGCCTTGTGAATGAGTCCAATTGGGAATAATGCAAGGCTACCAAGTTTGCCGGCCTCAGCTTGATGGAGAGGCATGGCTTCCCAAATTGTCTCATTCATGTTGCCTGCCTCCCTGATGTTCTGTGCCTGAACTATTGGGTGCATTCCATTCAAGGGCAAATCTATTTTTGTTTTATGTGTTTGCAAAATTGAGGTGTGCATTGCATTCAATGGTACATTATACTCAAGTAAATATGGTATTTTTTTCATCATCAATAACAATATTTATTACTGTCCATAGACCCAGCAGTGAAACAGACAATTGTGTATAAATTTTCCCATCTCAGGAAATACAGTATTTAGAATGGTCATTCAGAGAGCTCTAATGCCTTGTTTCCCCAAAAAACAAACCCCAGGATTTAATAGGGTGCAGCCATGGCAGTTAAAGTAGAATTGTAGTGCTATAATGTTGTACTATGGAAGGTCAACTTCTCTCTCAGATGAAGACAACTCCTAGATATTACTGCCTCAGAAACATACTCTGAAAATATTCTTATTATTCTCAAGCTGCAGGCTGTTTTTTTAAATTATTATTATTATTATTATTATTATTATTATTATTATTACTTTATTTGTACCCCGCTAGCATCTCCCAAGGGATTTGATGTGGCTTACAACAGGCCAGAGCCCAACACAATACAACAATACAATACATAGCAAATAAAACAGTTAAAGCAGAAAACAATAACAGTAGCAGTACAACAGGACGTTATTAAAAACTGAGCCGGCCAGGAGTAGGGTACAGGATTAAAAGTGCTGAAGTGTCGGAGGGATATGGGATTAAAATATAAGTGCAGTGTGCGGTGAGGGTGATCTTGACTCTACTAAAGTGCTTCTGGGCTTTGGTAGTGGGGTTCCTAATCTGAGAAGGCACGTTGGAACAGCCAGGTTTTCAGGTTCTTTCTGAAAACCGCCAAGGTAGGGGCCTGTCTGAGATCTTTCGGGAGGGCATTCCAGAGGCGGGGAGCCACCACAGAGAAGGCCCTGTCCCGCGTCCCCACCAAACGCGCCTGCGACGCAGGCGGGATCACGAGCAGGGCCTCTCCTGATGACCGGAGTGAGCGTGTGGGTTCGTAGACTGTGATGCGGTCTCGCAGGTAGGATGGTCCCAAATCCCCCCTGAGTCTTGGAAGAATTGCAGTTTTGAGCTACCGCTCCTAGAATCCCTTATTCAGCATTGTCAGTGGCCATACTGGCCTGGAATTTCTGGGACCTCTAGCTCAGAAAAGCAAGATATTTGCTAGGATCACAGTGTAGCTTCACACATGATTCTGTATGAGTACCTTAATACTTTGAAATGCATCTTTTGTCTGATATCAAATATTGGTAAATATGGTTAACAAATACATTCTATAAGCATCCTGTAGAAAGTCTTCCTTCCCTTACTTAGCAGTTTCTTTTTCATCTAATGCTACAAACAAATGAAATGTTTTGGGTTACAGAATCGACAAACCAAAAGCCTTATCACTGATGTTGCATACAGCTGACATCAGTCATCCTGCCAAGGCATGGGATCTCCATCATCGCTGGACCATGTCATTACTAGAAGAGTTTTTCAGACAGGTAATGTAAGAACGCCAACTGTCTTGGACTTTTAATGATAAGATGATGAACTGAGTGACATTTAATGTTTAGATAAATATGTTAGATTTCATTATTAATGGTACTTTTCCAATGTATCCTAATGTGACATGTCTGAACTCACTTATGGACATTTCAAACACATTCCTAGTCTGCAAAACTCATCAGTACCAATGTAATTCTGAACATCTCCTCCTTAAGTCCTGCTTATCTTTTTATCCTGGAAACTGACATGTTGGGGCTCTTGAGTCATCCATCTGATTTTATTCTGAGCAGTCTGTATCAGTTTCTTCCAGTGAGTAGTACCCAATTAATTTCACTAAATGTTAATGTATAACATGTTTTAAGCACAGAAAAGCTGGTTGTACATTAAAAACAATAAAAAACTGCAACACATAGATTAAATAGGAAATAAAAACACACGTTAAAGGTATCTTTGAACAGCAAGCGGAGATAAAGAATTTTTCACTGTTTTCCTGAACATAAGAGGTGTGGGCTGTTGGGCCTTCTTGAGAAGCTGGTGGCAAAAGGTGACCAAACTGCAAAGAATGCTGTGCTCTGATCCATATAAGATTTCACTGTAGAAACTAATTCCAAAGAAGAGTATTTTTCAACAGAGAGCATTGTATAGAAGAGATATCCACCTTGAGTCACCGTAAGGCTGAGAAAGGCAGGCTACAAATGCCATAAATAAATAAATAAATAAATAAATAAATAAATAAATAAATAATCCCTCCACATATGTTGGGCTGATGTTGTTTAGGGCTTGCCATAAGTAATGCTTTTAAGAAGATTAACAAACAACCAATGCAAATTGCCAAAATAGCGCTAGGTAGCTAATAGTGGCTCTACTGTTATGCAGAGGAAGGCTGGTAGCAGAAACTGGGGATAGCATAAACAATCTCCCAACTGTTTTCCTCTGAAAGGTCAAAATACTCTAATCCAGGTAGGGAACCTTTGGCCCTCCAGCTGTGGTGGACTTCAACTCCCACAATTCCTTGAGGCTCGGCATTCGCCCCAAAGGCTTACCTTGGCCCAATGCCGAGCCTCAAGGAATTGTGGGAGTTGAAGTCCACCACAGCTGGAGGGCCAAAGGTTCCCTACCCCTGCTCTAATCTCTCAAAGAATATAGCCAGGTGTGTTACACAGCTTGCTCTACACACCCTAAATGACCGTATCACTCTCGGGTGTGGTGGAAGACCCCTTAAAGTAAGAGAAAACTGCCAAAACAGTTTGCTTCAGTATATGGATGGGGGAATAATTATGACTAGGATTGCCAGATTTTAGTATTTGACCCTGCTTCTCCAGTTCTTGGAGTAATAATAATAATAATACTTTATTTATACCCCGCTACCATCTCCCAAGGGACTCGGTGCGGCTTACATGAGGCCAAGCCCACAATACAACAATACAAGCAATAACAACAAGAAGGAAAAACCTTAAGACAGAGGTATCAAACTCATTTTCATTAAGGGCCACATCAGCCCTATGGTTGCCTTCAAAGGGCCATTGAATCCATGAATGGAGAATCCATGAACTATAATGTTTTACATAGTGGTTGGTGCTCTTTAGTATTTACCGAATTAGAGTCCTCAGATGTTATTTAATGGCAACTCTCATAACTTTTGATTATCCACCGTGCAGGCCGGGGATAATGGGAATTGCAATCCAACAGCCCTTGTGAGGTTGGGGCAAGGTTATTTTAAAGGACATTTTAAAGTCTGATATCACACACACACACACACACACATTCTTCATTTGGTAGACTTAATGTTTTTTATTTGAAAGGAATACTTTGTGCAACTTATGGTGATGCGCCATGCATCATGCTTCATGCTATCACTAAGGATTTCTAACAGCGCCCTTGCAAGATCATTTTATATATTGGTTTCATAGCCCACCTTTCTCCTGGGATGAGATCCAAGCCATCTCTAGGTATCAGGTTTTGGTTCTGAAATCTCAGGGCCTGAGATAGACTTGAAATGACAACTATAATTTTGATCTCTGTCATGTAGCAAAATGTCCTGGGCTGTCCCTGAGGCTTTTCTGTCCATAAATGCCTTGCTTTGTTCTGTACTATCTACTAGTTTTAGACCATCTTCAAAAGTACCACCAGATAGACTGCACTGCAAAATAAATTCAGGGGATTATCAATTCAGTATTAGCGAATGTCACGGCCTTCACATGCTGAAAACAAAATGCCAGTAAGGTCAGAAGCGAACGTGCTAGCAACACTAATCAATATCTTGCTTGTTCTGAAAGGATAACAGTGTCCAAAATTCAATTAGGTAAACAAGGTTGCATTGCTGATTTAGGCATATTTAGCAGGGAAATGCTTTGCCAGAGCTTATGTAGCTTTCTTGCTCAGAAGAAAAAAAAAGACAATCAAATTAAATGAAAATATCCATTCAATTATACAGAAGCACAAGGCAGATAATTTGTATATTACTTCTGTGATCAGCTGCCATGTAGTGGGGGTGGTAGGTGGCTGTGGGTATATAGGTTTGGCTTGGATTAATCTCATTAAATGCATAGTATTAGTCTGTCTCACTGATAGCACTGGTGTGTTTGTAATAAAGCTCTGTCCCTCTAGGGACTGCCATCTGACTAAACTGTAGCCCTTTAATTAAAATGCATTATATTAAAGGAGAGAGATGTTTTAAGCCTTCTGCCATGTTAGATGATTCATATCTAGGGTAGAACTATGTGGACTGTGGGTCCTAAAGCTTTTGGGATGCTTTTGCAAACACATTAGGCAAAAATAATGTAGTGCTAGTAAATAAAAATTCAATTGAGGCCAGAAAGATACATTTCTTAACCTACGGAGAGTTTGCAAATATCTGTTTATTTTATTTAAAATGAATTAAGAATTTGTAAGCACAGTCAATCCTGACTACTCACTGTATTTGGCTGAAGCATGAACCAGCGTTAGCCCCATGAAAGGAAGAAGATGTAAAGCTTTAATTCCAAGTTGTTTCTAAACCACAGTTACTTCTATGTGCAAAGGGACGAGCGAGTGTGTGACAATTTGTCTAAACCAGTAGTTCTCAACCTGTGGGTCCCCAAGTGTTATGCCTTCAACTCCCAGAAATCCCAGACAGTTTACCAGCTTATTGTTGAAGGTTTTCATGACTGGAATTACTGGGTGGTTATAGGTTTTTTGGGCTATATGGCTATGTTCTAGAAGCATTCTCTCCTGATGTTTCGCCTGCATCTATGGCAAGCATGTGGGAGAGAATGCTTCTAGAAGATGGCCATATAGACCAAAAACCTACAACAACCCAGCTTACCAGCTGTTAGGATTCCTGGGAGCTGAAGGTCAAATTATCTGGGGGCCCACAGGTTGAGAACCACTGTCTAAGCTATGATTTGATGTTATTTTTAAGCTGGAGCTTCACTTACTTTTAAGGACTTTTGTCATAGGTACTGTTCATAACATTTCTAAGGAGAGGTCCATTAAAAAGGCAGTGTATTGCTTTCTAATAAAAGCAACCTTTGTTTTCTATCTAAAGCAGGGGTCCTCAAACTTTTTAAACAGAGGGCCACTTCATGGTCCCCCAGACAGTTGGGGCTGGACTATACATATACATATACATATAGCCGGGGGGGGGGGGGGCTCGGGGGGCTTCAGCCCCCCCCCGAAATTCTCATGGTGGTTCGCGAAAAGGCCTTACTGGTGCATTATTTAAACTGTTATGTTTATTCATATCATGATCTGATCACCATACTCAATATATCCCATATGCATGGGGGTATTGGGGTAATGATACAAAAGGTTTGCTAGGCTAGACCCTCTTTCACTCAGACTCAGCCCCTCCCGAACCCCCCCCTGAAAAAAATTCAGCCCCCTCCCCGGAAACGAAATCCTGGCTACGGGCCTGCATATACATATACATATACATATACATACACACACACACACACATATATAAATGAATTCCTATGCACATGTCTTATTTGTAGTGCAAAAAACAAAAACCCAACAACATGAAAGAACAATTTTAAAATGAAGATCAATTTTAACCAAGATAAACTTACTAGTATTTCAGTGGGAAGTGTGGGCATGCTTTTGGATTTTAGACAGGCCATGTTAATTAGGATTGTTATTGTTGTGTGCCTTCAAGTCATTTTAGACTTAGGGTGACCCTAAGTCTAAAGTTTAAGGCGGGGGCCAGGTCAATAACCTTGAAGGGTCATATCCAGCCTGCAGGCCTTAGTCTGGGGACCCCTGCTTTAAGTAAAGGGGGGGGGGGTCCAAGACTCCCACGGTCAAAATCATACAGTATAACAGGCTGTATCCTTCTCTCTTTTTTCTTTCATTTTTCATTCACTATATAATAGTATATATTTCTCTTCTGCAACTCCTGTCAAAATGACAGTTAAATCCACGAGACTATGGTCTATATGCTGTTTGAATTCTTTTTTTTACCCTAATTAATTTACCCTTCTCTTTATTCCTCAGGGTGACAAAGAAGCCGAACTAGGGCTTCCTTTTTCCCCGCTATGTGACCGCAAATCCACCATGGTTCCTCAGTCTCAAATAGGTAGGCACATCCACTAATGCACATCTGAAACAGAAAAAGTAATTTTGGCAGGGATGCTGTCGCTTGAGATGAGTTGTTTTGCATGATATAAAATGGAAGAATCAAGTTTCAATGATGGTTATTTCCCTGAAATGGTAGAAATATTCTGCTACTTTTGAAGTTTGTTAAATGTAGCTTAATTTTGAAGTGAAATAACATTTTCATTCTGTTAGACTCTGTATTGTATATTCAATCTAAATTAAATACCACAATATACTATTTTCTGCATATCACATTGAAAATGATTGTTTAGTCATATGCTATAGCTACAGCAGAATTCAGTACAGTCAGCCCTCCACGTTTACTGGGATTCATGGCATAGAAACCCTGTGAAAATGAAAACTAAAAAGAATGCTGGGTTTGCTTTTAATCCAAGGCACATCTTTAGGAATTTCTAAGGCATACACCATGACTCTATAGACAACTTCTGTTGGAAATGGAACACAGAATTGTATTGGGGGACCTACAGATTCGTAAAGAAGTTTTCTCTCTAGAAATGGTTAAGCCTTCTGGTATGTGTGGAGAAAGTTGATTATATAGTGACACTGGAGGGCCTAGGAGTTGATAGAAATAACATTTAACCAAATCTGTGAATAATTAAATCCACAAACATGAAGGGCTAACAAGTAGAAATGAAAAATAATATACCTTAGTCCCATTTCTTTAGGTTTACTTACTATATTTAGTTCTGATGATTCTCACATCTTGACTTCTTCTAATGGTCTACATTTTTTGTCACTTTCCATGAATTTACTGTATTTTATTGCATAATAGTTGCCAATCTGTAATAGTCCCACCTCAATTTTTTTTGGTTACAAAATCAGTATCTTGACTTTCCTTGATTCATTGGCTCACTGTTTTTCTATAAGAAATAGCATTTTCTGCACTGAAAATAGGATTTTTGCACCAAATAAGTCCCAACCTGAAAATAGTTTTTGGTAACTGCAAATGTTTGATGATCTTCTCACAGCACGAAGAAAAATGATAAAGTGACTTGTTTTCAAGAACAAAATTGGTAAAGAATTACAGCCCTATGAGCATGTATACTAATTTAGGTTATCTTGGCAGGATAGACAGTTGAGATAAAATGTGAAAACGAAAGAAAGGGCATTTTCAAGACAAAAAAACCCAGTAGAGCAAGCTGTAATTGAATTGTTATTGGGTGTTACTTGAATGGTTTTGAGGCAAATCTGGATGTTCTTACAAAGGCCAAATGTCTACAAGAATTTAGGAATAGTCAGATAGCATATTGGGTTAGGGCACAGTTCAGTAGTACAACCAAATTGTGCATAGATACTGTTACAGTTTAATTCCTGCTTTTAAAAGGATCTCAGATCTTGAGAAGCTAGCATGAAGGCTGATTAAATTGACTTCTCATAAAGTAGCCCAATGTAGTCTTGAAGGAGGGAAATATACTCCTTGAACTTATTTTTCTGGCCAGAACTTCAGACATCTTTTCATCTTTAATCAAAGTACCTTTATTCAGTGCACTTGAGAATTAATGGTGAATTACACTGTCAGCAAAGATAATTATGGCAAACAAGCCAAGCATTCAATCAGTACTAAAGGCTGATTTATACAGTACTGTACCGTTTAATATTTTACTTAATTTGTGAGCATTTACTGCATCTCACTATCCTTAAATGCCACATTTGTTCTGTAAATCCCATGCACTAATGCTATAAAATGTTCATTTGAGTGTTCAGTGGGCAATTTTCTAATGGCTGTGTATAGTGACCCTGGAATTAAATCAAGAACTATTACATTTTTCTTCCCTGCCTGTGCACAAAAAATAAGGTATCTTTTCCCCCAGTGATGATGTAAAAAGGTAATAGGAAAGTACTCCATTACAGTTTTCCTTATGCAACTCATATCAGTTTCCTAGGGCCCATCCAGACAGTACCTTTATTGTGGTATCTACCATGATAAAGGAAGGGCTGTCCAGACAACGTTCTGGACAGTCCTAAATTAATTTGCTACAAACCAGGAAAACCCTGGTTTGTAGCAAATTAATTAGATAGTGGGTTTATTCCYCACTTTCTTGGGAGGTGRAGGATAAAGCCACTATTTCCGATGTCTGGACATTCCCACAGTTTACCGGGCTAAATAAGCCTGGTAAACTGTGGGAATACCCACCCCTCCCCCCAAGCCCCCAGACCCCTTGGAAAAGTAAAAAAAAACCTTACCTGGCTTCCAGTATACTCTCGGAGCAGCTCTCCTGGCATGCACAAATGATGCACCAGGAGAGCAGGGGGGAGGGAGGAAAATCCCCCTCCCCCGCTCTCCTGGCACATCATTTGTACGTGCCAGGAGGGCTGCTCTGTGAATCTACTGCAGGCTGGCTAAGGGGTTTTTTTTGTTTACTTTTCAAAAGGGGCTGGGATCTTGGGGGGAGAATGGTAGGGCCTCCAGATGTTCTCTCGGACTAGTCCCAAGAGAAGGTCTGGACACCCAACCCAGAAAGCGTGTGCTTTCTGGGATGGGTATGGACAGCCCCCCAGGAAAATCCACATTTTAAAAATGCAGGGATAATAGCCTGTCTGGATCCAGCCCTAGTGATATGCAGTGAGTTCATTTTTTTACAATAAGTCTTGTAGCAATATAGATCACAGACTATAAGTCATCTATAGTGATGGAATAAATATTACAAGTATGGGAAATATTATAAGTATGGGACCTATAAAATACCTTCTTTTCTTTCAACCACACTTTTTAGTTTGTTAACAGTTCTATAATTTTTTGCACTATTTTGCACTCCATTTTCAGATAGAAAAGTCTTAAACAAGTTTAATGCAGAATAGTGGGCAAAGGAATTGTTTCAGGAAGTGAAAATCTGCTGTGGAATGCAAAATTTATACATTTTGAGAAGAAAAAATATGGTGTAGGAATTGCAGAGTAGTGGGGATTTAAGTGTCCAGTCTATGTGAATGTGCCTATGTGTGTGCACATACGTTTAACGTTTTCGGACTTCCAGCAATCAACGTGAGTCTAATTCTCCACAGATGCAGAAAAAGCATCCAATAATATCCATTGGAAATTCATGGAGAAGACCTTAAAAATTATAAATTGTGGTGACAAATTCCTCAATGGAGTAAAGAGTATGTACTCCAACCAAAGAGCAACAGTACAAATCAATGAAGAACATTCTGGGTATTTTCCAATTCAGAGGGAAGTTAGGCAAGGATGTCCGCTCATTCCCCTACTATTTATCTTCACAATAGACATTTTGGCCAATAAAATTTGAGATTCTGAATAAATTCCAGGTATTGTTAAACAAGAAGTATTTAAATTCAGACTTTTTGAGGATAATATGGTCCTAATGATGGATAAACTTCTTGAATCTGTACTTAAAATCATAAAATGGCAACTACTTTAAACATTGTAACACTGACATCTTAAAGTTTATCTGGAATGAGAAAAAACCACAAAAATTTAAAGTATTTATAGCTTGCAAAAGAGAAAGGGAGATTCTATATTACAAAGCAGCAGCGCTATCTTGGGTTAAAGAGTGGATCAACTTAGAAAACAAAAATCCACTAATGCTGGAAGGATATGATCTGAAATTTGGGTAGCACGTCTATAATATACAGAAAAGAAAAAATGACACTAATTTTAAAAAATGTATGGTAAGAAATAATCTTTTTAGAATGTAACTTAAACAACATTCCAAATATATTTCAAAAATCCCAAATTGGACATCACTGCAGGAAGCATTCCACAAATTACAATACAATATACACCCTGGCTGACATATAAAAACCTACTGAAAACATGCAATAATAAGAAATAATAAAATAATAATAAAATAATAAAATCCCTACCAGAATTCCAAAGGGATGGGAACTCGATCTCATGGTTCCAATATTTCCAAATTCATCAGAGATGGCAAGATGATCAAAAGTGGGTATTCAAGAAGTAGATACAGAATTAGATCTACAATTGCAAAGAAAAGACAAACGGATTGCTAGAATCTACAAAGTATTACTAAAAAAATGACACAGAGGAAGATCAAGGAAAAGACCACATGATTAAATAGACACAAAATGGGCACAAAAAATTGGACATAATATTGAAATGAGTACATGTGAACACATGTGGAAAAGGCGGATAAAATTCACCAGCAACTATGAGTTCTATGAGATTTTTTATAAGATAACTAGCTATCCCCTGCCACGCGTTGCTGTGGCCCAGTCTGTTGATCTGGAAAATAAAGTAACGAGAAAGTATTGGTTTCTAATATATGCAATTTCTTTATGCTTGTGGATAAACAGTATTTCTTGCTGTTTCTTTGTCAGTGTTGATGTAGAGATTGTCTGGTTTGCCTATTCTGGAACATGCAACATACAATTGTCCTTCTTTAGGGGTCCCTTTCAAATCTATGATACTATATCTCTCTGTGTGTGGATCATATATATCTATCTATCTATATCTATGGTTGGATGTCTCTTTGTCAGGAGGGCTTTGATTACATTTTCTTGCCCTGGTGAAGGGAGTTGGACTGGGTGGCCTTACGTATTTTCTGTTGGTCATGGGGGTTCTCTGGGGGAAGTTTGGCCCAATTCTCTAGTTGGTGGGGTTCGGAATGCTCTTTGATTGTAGGTGACCTATAAATCCCAGCAACTACAACTCCCAAATGTCAAGGTCTATTTCCCCCAAACTCCATCTGTGTTCATATTTGGGCATATTGAGTGCTTGTGCCAAGTTTGGTCCAGATCCATCATTGTTTGAGTCCACAGTGCTCTCTGGATGTAGGTGAACTACAACTCCCAAACTCAAGCTCAGTGCCCACATTTTCTGTTGGTCATGGGAGTGCTGTGTGCCAAGTTTGGTTCAATTCCATCGTTGGTGGAGTTCAGAATGCTCTTTGATTGTAGGTGAACTATAAATCCCAGCAACTACAACTCCCAAATGACAAAATCAATTTTTGGAGTGAAGGACATACATTGGGTTGTTAGGTGTCT